CTGGCCTGATCCCCCCTAACTGCTTGCTCCCCTGACAGCCTGATCACCCCTAACTGCTTGCTCCACTGCCAGCCTGATCGCCCCTAACTGCCTCTGCCTCAGCCCCCACCACTGTGGTTTTGTCTGGAAGGAAGTCAGATGTCCGGGAGATGTCTGGTCGACCAGGTCTAATTAGCATATTACCCTTTTATTAGTATATATATAATCCAACTCTTACATGGATATTGATAGAATCCACATTGACACTGATACTGAGAAACTCGTGCTTGAGAACAAAGTAATTTGATAATTATTGCTTATTTTTTATTTTCATTCATTTTTAAGATCCTTTTCTTAGACTATTTCTCCCCTCTTAAGAAAATTTTAATACTTTCCCACATAAACACATGTAAAGTTGAGAAACTTGAGTGAACTATGTTTACTAGAGTAAGTGATCTTTGCTTGAGTGAACTATGTTTACTAGAGTAAGTGATCTTTTTTTCACCTCCTTTATCTCTCTAATTAGCATATTACCCTTTTATTAGTATATATATAATCCAACTCTTACATGGATATTGATAGAATCCACATTGACACTGATACTGAGAAACTCGTGCTTGAGAACAAAGTAATTTGATAATTATTGCTTATTTTTTATTTTCATTCATTTTTAAGATCCTTTTCTTAGACTATTTCTCCCCTCTTAAGAAAATTTTAATACTTTCCCACATAAACACATGTAAAGTTGAGAAACTTGAGTGAAAATTAGGCTGAACTATGTTTACTAGAGTAAGTAATCTTTTTTTCACCTCCTTTATCTTGTATAGTTTGGAATTCAAACTGAATTTATGTTGAATCAAACACAGATAAAATACCACTTAGCATTTGTTGAGAAGCAAATCCATCCAAAATTTTAAACCTTAATTTATCTTACATATCTATCTATATCTATATCTATATCTATCTATCTATCTATCTATCTATCTATCTATACACACACACACACACACACACACACACACACACATATAGAGGCCTGGTGCACAAAATTTGTGCACAGGAGTGGGGCGGGTGTCCCTCAGCCCGGCCTGCATCCTCTCTAATCTGGGACCGCTGGCTCCTAACCGCTCGCCTGCCTGCCTGCCTGATTGCCTCTAACCGCCTCTGCCTGCCTACCTGATTGCCCCTAACCACCTCTGCCTGCTGGCATGATGGCCCCCTAACTGCTCCCCTGCCAGCCTGATCACTCCCAACTGCCCTCCCCTGCCGGCCTGATCGCCCCCTAACTGCCTGCTCCCCCACGCTGGCCTGATCGCCCCTAACTGCTTGCTCCCCTGACAGCCTGATCACCCCTAACTGCTTGCTCCACTGCCAGCCTGATCGCCCCTAACTGCCTCTGCCTCAGCCCTCACCACTGTGGCTTTGTCTGGAAGGAAGTCAGATGTCCGGGAGATGTCTGGTCAACCAGGTCTAATTAGCATATTACCCTTTTATTAGTATATATATAATCCAACTCTTACATGGATATTGATAGAATCCACATTGACACTGATACTGAGAAACTCGTGCTTGAGAACAAAGTAATTTGATAATTATTGCTTATTTTTTATTTTCATTCATTTTTAAGATCCTTTTCTTAGACTATTTCTCCCCTCTTAAGAAAATTTTAATACTTTCCCACATAAACACATGTAAAGTTGAGAAACTTGAGTGAACTATGTTTACTAGAGTAAGTGATCTTTGCTTGAGTGAACTATGTTTACTAGAGTAAGTGATCTTTGCTTGAGTGAACTATGTTTACTAGAGTAAGTGATCTTTGCTTGAGTGAACTATGTTTACTAGAGTAAGTGATCTTTGCTTGAGTGAACTATGTTTACTAGAGTAAGTGATCTTTGCTTGAGTGAACTATGTTTACTAGAGTAAGTGATCTTTGCTTGAGTGAACTATGTTTACTAGAGTAAGTGATCTTTGCTTGAGTGAACTATGTTTACTAGAGTAAGTGATCTTTGCTTGAGTGAACTATGTTTACTAGAGTAAGTGATCTTTTTTTCACCTCCTTTATCTCGTATAGTTTGGAATTCAAACTGAATTTATGTTCTCTTTGCTTTAATTACATACTGCTGGTAGAAAAAAAATGAAAAGTACTTTGACATTCTTAGTTTCTTAAATGGCATATATTTCCAATTGGAAATACCTATCTAGTTTCCTGTCATCTCAAATTCTCCCACTGCCTTCCCAGAAGGCTTGAGCCCAGCTTCAGACGCTAGAATCAACCCTGACTGGGTGAAGAGTGAGTGCAATTTAAATGGTTATAGTGGCTCAACATCAAGTCAAAGCTCACACTGACTTTTTCTCCAGTTTCAGTAACTGGCCTTCAACCTACCACAATTCTGGTAACCAAATTCCCATCTTGATTATTTCCTCATACCTAATTGTTCATTCTAACAAGTCTTTCACTCCACGCATTAAAAGCTTGTTCCTGTACCCCAGCCTCATTATCAATTGGCAAATTAACCTACCTACAACTAATTGGGTACCTGTTTGGATCTATAATGTTGTTTGCTTCTAGATTTCTCACTACCCTGCTCCTCCCCTGATATGGCTGTCTTATGCCAGTGATGCAAGCCACTTGTCTCAACTGCCAGCTGCTTTCTGACCCATGCGCCCCTCTGTGTACCATGTTCTACCTGGCCAAACAACCTCCAATCACCCCTAGTTAAGTTTACCTTAGCCCTCTGCCTGTCCTATCACAGTCACGAAATGTAACATAATGAATTAAAATTTATAAATATAAGACAGCCTGATTTTGACACATGAAAAGCATGAAATTAGGGATATAATATTTTGAAGTAAGCTACTGTGATCTCTACATATAAATTGGAAAGTCTTAATGGAATGACAGATTGTGCTGCTTATTATGGCCAGCTAACAAAGACTTGCGTGACTTTGCCACTCATGGATTAGTTAGTCTGCTGAATTGAATGCAAACAAATGAAAAGAGATCTGTGATGATTCTTGGAATTAATATAGGTATTTCAGAAAGGAGGGGTTTTAAAAGTTTAGGAATATCATTAGTCATAGAAGTGAGGATAGTTCTTTATTCTAATAAACTGAGTGATGAAGGTCACCCAACACTGACACAGGCTATATATGCCAGCACAGAGGTTGGCAAACTTCTGATGAAGACCGGACAGACAGTAAATGTTCTAGACTCTATTTCATTGACCCAACTCTGCCACTGTGGGTCAATGATTGAAAGTCATAGACAATCTATATAATAAAAGCCTAAGCGACAGCAAACTTCTGATGAAGACCGGACAGACAGTAAATGTTTTAGACTCTATTTCATTGACTCAATTCTGCCACTGTGGGTCAATGATTAAAAGTCATAGACAATCTATATAATAAAAGCCTAAGCAACAGTTATGGCAGAACGACCAGTTGCTATGATGCGCACTGACCACCAGGGGGCAGACGCTCAATGCAGGAGCTTCCCCCTGGTAGTCAGTGCTCTCCCTCAGTGGGAGCACCGCTCAGCCAGAAGCGGTAAGGAGCGAGGGGTCCCAGACATCCCCCGAGGGGTCCTGGACTGCGAGAGGGTACAGGCTGGGCTGAGGGACTCTCCCACCCCCCAGTGCACGAATTTTGTGTGCCAGGCAGCAGCGAGCAGGTGGGTGGTAAGGAGCGAGGGGTCCCAGACATCCCCCGAGGGTTCCTGGACTGCTAGAGGGTACAGGCCGGGCTGAGGGACTCTCCCACCCCCCAGTGCATGAATTTTGTGTGCCAGGCCTCTAGTAAGTAAATAAATGCCTGCAACTGTGTTCCAATAAAACTTTATTTATGAACACTGAAATAAAAATTTTATACAATTTTCATGTCACAAAATAGTCTTCTTTTGATGTATTTTCAACACTTTAAAATGTAAAAAACACTCAACTCAAGGGTCATCTGAAAAATAGATGGTGGGCCAAATTTGGCCCATCTGGTTGGGTTGTAATTTGCCAACCTCTGTTCTAGTTTAATGCATATCTTCCCAGGCTTCTAGCATGTATGTTGTGTGTTGGGGGTTGGGGTGAGAAAGCTAATTTTTCATATATTCAAGAATATACTCTTCCTTATTTTTTAAAAAAAGCCTTTTATATTTTTTTAAGTATGCAGAGTTTTGCTTGACTATTTAGCAGTTTAAGTCCTCCATTAGGGAAATAGAGAATTTTTTTAACACTCTTGATTTTTATCAAATAACTAAAATGTAAATGGGAAGTAGCCAATGGATTATCTCTAAGCCTAAACAAAACAAGCAAACAAAAGCCTGTGAAAGAGAAAGAACTCTTGAAAAATGAAGCTCTTGGAGAAGCTATTTCCAACTGTCCCACTCTGATTGGGTTCCCAAATGGTTAACATTTGATTATAGAGTCACAGTACCTCCAAGTAACAAGGGACACAAGGGAGTAGTAGAAGTGAAACATTGCTCTCATTTATTTAGTAGCCACCTTGTAAATAAATACCAGTGCATCAGAGCTCCATTGCTAAAAATAGCAGTCGTGGGGCTGGAAGACTTTTATTATAAGGACGAGTAAACATAGGGGTGGAAGTACAGCAGATAATTAGTTTATATAATAGGAAAGATTTCTTTTTATTTACAAATAATGCCCTCGATTACAACTTGTCTGGTAGGTTCTGGGTCTTCATATAAAATCATAGAAAAAAAATTAAATGGATGGGGACAGGACCGCAAAACAGATCCAAGTATTTTTTCCCAGTGCCCTCCTGGCTTTTTCACTTTCTTCTCTCTCCCTTTCAGATTCATTTCACAGCCTTCTTATATTCATTTTACGTTGAGCATCTTGTCCCTCCTTCCTCAACTCCCTGGCTTCTTCTCCCTCTCCATCTCGCTCTATAGCTTTTGGAAATCTCCCTTTCTTTTTGCTCTTCACCTTGTGGTATCTACTAAAACCTTAAGAGAATCGCTGTATGTTCTGAAACTTCTGTGGGTTTCTAAGTGACGCTGAGCATGCTCAGTGGCTAGGGCAGGTTTTGTTGCCAGCAGCTTGCCTGATTCGACCTCTCCAAAAATAGACATTTAACTCGCTGAACTCCAGTTTAAGGATGAAATTCATTTTGCTCTCTCCTCATTTTAAAGGTTCAAAGGGAAGCAGCGAGGATCCCAAGGTCCCAGCGCCCTCACAGCCAATGAGGGGTCGGTGAGGGAGGAGCTTGGGGCTGCTCGGTGCAGCTTGAGCTTCTGAGCGAATCATCCCCGGTAGATGCAGTGGATACTGAGCTCGGCTCGTCTGTCACAGCAGAACAAAACTAAAACAAAACCAAAAAAAAACACAGAAGAGGAGAAACGCTGCAGAGTATGGAACGCTGTAGCACTTTCTGAAATATTTGCTGGGGATCCCCGTGGAGCATGATCTTTTAAAACTATCCTTTTTGAAGCTGGTTTGGGTAACTGGGAAAATGATACATATGCTAAATGCAGCAGCTGATCGAGTGAAATGGACCAGGTCGGGTGCTGCTAAAAGGGCCGCCTGCCTGGTGGCTGCGGCATATGCTGTGAAAACCCTCTACCCCATCCTTAGCAAGCATTTAAAGCAAACTGGCCACAGGAAGAAAAAAGAAGCTCGCGGGGCTGCAGAGAACAGAGAAACACTGCATTGCACCGAGATTACTTGTAAAAAACCTTCGCCTGGAGTGAATGCAGATTTTTTCAAACAGCTACTAGAACTTCGAAAAATCCTCTTTCCAAAACTTGTGACCACGGAGACAGGGTGGCTCTGCCTCCACTCGGTGGCTCTCATCTCAAGAACCTTTCTGTCTATCTATGTGGCTGGTCTGGATGGAAAAATCGTAAAAAGCATTGTGGAAAAGAAGCCTCGGACTTTCATCATCAAACTGATCAAGTGGCTTCTGATTGCCATCCCTGCCACCTTTGTCAACAGTGCGATAAGGTACCTGGAATGCAAATTGGCTTTGGCCTTCAGAACTCGCCTAGTAGACCATGCCTATGAAACCTATTTTACAAATCAGACTTATTATAAAGTGATCAATATGGATGGGAGGCTGGCAAACCCTGACCAGTCTCTTACTGAAGATATTATGATGTTCTCCCAGTCTGTGGCTCACTTATATTCCAATCTGACCAAACCTATTTTAGATGTAATTCTGACCTCCTACACCCTCATCCAGACTGCTACATCCAGAGGTGCGAGCCCAATTGGACCCACTCTATTAGCAGGACTTGTGGTATATGCCACTGCTAAAGTGTTGAAAGCCTGCTCTCCCAAGTTTGGTAAATTGGTGGCCGAAGAAGCGCATAGAAAAGGCTATTTACGGTATGTGCACTCCAGAATTATAGCCAATGTTGAAGAAATTGCCTTTTACAGAGGACATAAGGTAAGAGAAATTAAGGTGATGGGTGAAATGTGAGCATGTTCAAGCTGCCACTTCAGTGCTAGATACCATCTGTTGTACTATTATTGATGGACCCACTTCTTTAGGGTTTTAGATTCCTATAACATCTTAAACCTTCATTAAAATACATGCTTCATTACCCTGTTTAATGACAAGCTGTTAAAAAATTATAGAGTGCAAACTTTTCTGAAGTTTCATGAGAATAAAATAGTCAGCACTGTAGAAAATAGTCTACTTCACCCCCTCTTACTCAAGTATGCTGAGAATTATCTCTAAAGCATTTTCTTAAAACTTAAATCCTAACTTAGTCGGTGGTTCTACAGAATTAGAAGAAAATATATGTTTGGAAACTAAGTGAACACGTTTCTATTGAGATGGAAATTTAGGGTGGTATTTTATTGTTGCTTTTCAAGGGGGGAAAACATGCTTTCATATGAAAAACAAGTTTGACAGTTTTGCATGCCTGGTCAATGATGGGCTGTCCTAAGTCTTAAGAAATTTAGGAGAGTGGGGCTCACCAATGCTTTTCCATTACTCTTAGTACCATATTTTGACACAAATAAAAAGAGACAGTGAAATGAAACTTTGTCTAACTTTGATAGAAAAACTAAGATTAGAAATGAGGAGGAGGAAAGAGTTCCAGAGTGTTATTTTAAATATTAAAGATTTTCAACCTTAAGCAGATCCCTAAAATAGTTAGCCTAATTACCTAAAATTGCAATGCATGACAGTAACTTCATAATATTAAATATGGCAGAAATTTTAAGGTGATGCATCTGAAATCCTAATCCAAATGTCTGGCAAATAAAATATTAAGGTATTCTAAAGTTGAAAATGGTATTTTAATTACCAGGCAGAATTATTTAATTTTTAAAGCATCATCAATTATCAAAAAATTTTTTATAGCAGTACCAATCTGAAGAAGAAACTTTAAAGCAAATTTAGAACTTCTACTCCCACTTGAAAATTGTCCTCATATGTTGTATTAATCATATTGATGTGTCAGTCTTCTTGAATCATTGAACTTAGTGATGTAAATTATATCATGTTGTTGGCTTCTTGAATTTAAGACAAAGTCCAATAAATTGAGTTAGTTCAAAACTGGAGTCTAATTACACACATATGTATCATATACTTATTTTCAGATAGTTTTGATATAATCAAGAAGGATAAGATTCTAGCATTGTTTATTCATGTCTTACAGAATATTTGGTTTAAACATCTCCTACATGTAATTTTAAAATCATGCTTATAAATCACTTATATATATATTACACTTACATATTTTATACTTAGCATTATATTTACTGAGTATTATTTTTTTAATATTACAAATATGATAAATCTAAACAATAATGACCAAATCTGATATTAATCTGTATTTGTTGGTTGTTAGAATCATAGATAATACAATACTAAATAAAGCAAACTAATAATATAACTTATCTTTAAAGTCCTCAAGCATACAATATTTATTTTGATAGCTCATGCTAAGTTAATTCTTAACTCTTTTTCTCTCTATAGGTAGAAATGAAACAACTCCAGAAAAGTTACAAAGCTTTAGCAGATCAGATGAACCTCATTTTATCGAAACGTTTGTGGTACATTATGATAGAGCAGTTCTTGATGAAGTATGTTTGGAGCGGCAGTGGACTAATTATGGTGGCTGTACCTATTATCACTGCAACTGGCTTTGCAGATGGTGGTAATGGCATTTATGCTTAATCTCAAATATATGCTTAAGGTTATTTCTCTTGAAAGTATTACTGCTTGTTCTGTGTGAGTGAAACTGTATGTGGCCGTTGTTCTATAGTCATTAATAGTCAGAAACAATGGAAGACTTTGCAATGTCCAAAGATAAGACCAGCAATATGAAAAAAAAAAGAAAAGGAGACAAGTTGCTCAAAAGAACTTTCCAGTTCTGAAATATTTCAGAGATCTCTGATGCAGTGTTTCTGGGAGTTGAACTTGAGCAATTTTAATTATACTGCCTTATATAAAATAATTCTCTAGTTTAACATTTAAACTCAAAACAAAATACCTTCAAAAAGAGTATAAGTTTTCTCATTGCCAACTTCAGTTGTGCACATCCAATGCATTTAATCTATAAATGTTCTATAACTGGGTCTGCTCTAATTTTATTTAAAAAGTTAGGCAACAAGGAATACTTTTTCACAAAGTGCTTCATGCCACGGTACCAAGTGTGCTCTACTTGTAGGTAACATAGATAACCTCCTATGTAGCATGATTTGGTGGTATTGTGGGGGGAAAGGTTTACAAGTAGCAAGTGTCTAATTCTAGCCTATCACCATCTCAGTGGTTTTTGTCAACATTGTCATCCTTTGGAATAACAAAGAAAGATAAGGGCAAAGGGGGCATTAAAATGTTGTGTCTTACTTGATTGAGGTGGGAGTTTGGATCTTAATTGGCAGGAAGATAGGGGAATTAAAATAAAGAAGCAGCATTTCCTGGTCTTTCTGAAAAATACAATATACCCCCTCCTGTCTGAAAACCACTTGACCAAATTGGCCTTCGTGTTGAAGGAGCTAGACAAAAGCCTGGGCCTTTCTCAACTCTTGGCTTTCCCTCTATTTGCCTTTGTATGTGTTAGTCATATTAATCAAACTCCCCAAACCTCCGTTTCCTCATCTATAAAATGATCATCAGAAAGGCTACTTCGGAGGGTTGTTGTGAGGATTTAATGGAGTCATGTTTTGAAAGTACAGAGCATGCTCTGGATGTTCTCGATACAGGGTGACATTTATTATGTAAAAAACAAAAGGCAACACTAAAAATAATGTAACAGAATTCACATTATTTTGTGGTTATTTTTGGTGTAGTTATTTGTTTTAAGGCATCTAATAAAAACAAGCAAAAAATTACCACATGCCTTTACACTTGAACTGTACCTAAATACTTTAACCAATTCTTATAAAAACACTTGTCAAATTTGAGTCATTCTTTACCTACAATGTTCATTTTAGTAATTAGGATTTGACAAACCTTTGTGATAATGCTATGCATATACCAAATTCAGTACATATACTCCACAATTCAACAGTAGACACTGTGTTTAGACCACTGGGAAATGGAATTTTATCTGTTTTTATATTTTCAAATTTTATTTTTAAAATGTCATTTAAAAAACTTATATTGAAAAAGTCATTGTTATTAAGAGTATTCTTAGGCTAAATCTTTTCATAATTAAATAAAAAATAAATTGCTTTTTCAAGCGTATTAACAAAAAAAAGACACTTAAAAACCTATGTTCTTAAGATCAGTTTTATTAAGAAATTTGACAAAATTGTCAGATATTCATGCTATATCGAATCTTTTATATTAAAAGATTCTCTCTAAGTATATGGATATTTTTAAGTTTCATATATAATGTATACTAACAGCAACCCCAATTATAAGATTATGGGGTAGTTCTGTTAGTCCTTGGAAGCACTGGTCTTGTTAGAAAACCCTGGAGTAAACATAGAACAGGGAAAATGCAGCTATTAATGGTGACAAATTAACCCCACAGAGACCACTAAGACATAAACAATGTATGCAAAGAATATAACAATTTTACTTCTGTAGGTGATGCAATAAGATGTTCAAAATACATCCTATGAATCCTGAAAACACCATATTAATTTAAAGAAACAGCATTAAAATTTTAGATGGGAATAATAACATTGATGCAAATGGAACTGATTCTTAAAACTTCTTTTCAAAAGAAAATGTTATACAAAGAAAAACAATATAAGAATTTCATAGAAGAAGAAATTCATAGGAGCTATAATCTCAATGAATTCCTATGACAGGATTATTATGAGAGTATGCCTCAATATCTTCTGTAATTTCTAAGGTTACTATATTTATGCTTAAAATGTTTACATATGTGTGTTTACTAAATATATTTGACCAACAATGACTTAACACATGAAAATATTATCATTTTACTCAGACAAAATTATTTATTTTTAAGATAATGACATATCTTTGAGGCTTTAGGTCTTAGAATTGCATACCAGATAGTCTAATCTAGTCTTCCATCTCAGTTTACTCTTATGCCCTGAGTTGTCCCTTATGTTAGAGAGGAATTAAATGTATGACACTGTATATATATGAAATGGGTGAGTGAGAGGAATGGCAAAGAGAACAGGGAGAAAAAGGAAGATAGAGGAAAGAAGCAGGTCACTTTAAATCTAGACTCTGCTGTTTATTAGTATTCATCCTTCAGAAAGTTACATAAACTTATATGCTTCAGTTTTCCTATCTTAACTGTAAAGATGATAATATATCATTTAAAGAATTATATGAAATTACATATATTGTATTAATGTGCTTTTACACAGTCCTTGGCAAGTAGTAAAAACTTCGGTGGAAGCAATTGTTAATATTTATTTATATTCTTACCATGTAGGCTCTGGAGTCTAGAATCTGGCTCTTTTGTTTATTAGGCTGTATCTAAAGACAAATCGTTTCATCTTTTTGTGCTTTCATTTCCTCATTTTCAAAATGGGGGAAATTTTAGGGTTGTTAGGAGGATTAAAGAAGGTCACATATATAAAACTTGTAACAATACCTGCCCCACAGGAAGTGCTCAATAGATATTTGCTGGTATGATTATTATTGTTAAAGGAGCAAGGCATTTGCAAGTGATTAGGACATCAGAGTAACATGCAGATAGGAGGAAGAACCTACATAACTTTTGTGGGGGGAGGAGAAAAGAAAAATAGTTCTATAGTACAATTTTAAGAGAAATCTTGTGGTTAACGGTAGGATTATGTTAATATTCATGTTCATGTTACAAAATTGCATATGGAATTATGCCATCTTCACATCAGAAGAGGACCTTACAGGTCATTTAATCTGGAGCCTGGGAGTTACTCAAGTCACACAGACGGTCAAAGCATTAAGGCTAGAAAACATTATGTAACTCCTAGAGCTTTGCTTTTTTCCCCTTCATCATGTTGCCTCTATCTGAGCTCTTTGGGAACTTGATCTATAAGGAACTTCACTTAGTTTGAGACCAACTAATCATGGGACCAACTAGTTGAAAAAGCATTGAAATAGTTTTATATAGTTTCTATTATATATTTTTAGAGGACATTGCCCCTTCGTTTGCTTTGCAGTAAGAGAAAAACTGAAATTACATGAAAGAAAAAATAGTTACCTAGGAGCTATAATCTCACATTTTTAACATTATAAACCACTGTTGATATCATATCAAAAGCAGTTCTGGGTAAGGCCAGCGAAAGCTACCTATAGATCCCTCCTGCCAGACATTATCCCAGACACCTTCACAGGCAGGGAAGAAAGCATCTCAGCCACTAGCACTGCCAGTATTATCTGCATAGTTTATATCAGGGTTTACTCTCTATATTGTAGAATTATATGGGTTTGGAAAAATAGATAATGATACAACCTTAGCTTTTTTAATCCTTTCTTGCCTTTTCAGTGAAATAACAAGATGTGTCCATGGCTGAATACACACTTCTTATTAGCAGAGCTGAACAGTGTCAGTAAAATAAGCAGATGTAATATTAAACACTAAATCCTTAAATGAGGAACTTTTGATAAAATATTTAAAATATTTGGTAGGACAATAAATATTTGGTGAGTGCTTTAGGTCATGAATTTATATCTCTGACACTAAGGAATCTGGCCCTAGAGAGTTTATGCAGTTGACTGTTGTGTGCATGATGAAATAGTACTGGCACTGCTTTCACAGTACCTACCAAAGAACAACCAGTAGAATAAAAGTCAAATGAAATCTGTCCAGAGCTATTGGTAGTTTTGTTGCTAAAAACATGAAGAAAACCCAATACACATTAACCTGCCAAAGCAGCATGGGAAGTACCATGCCATATCAAACACAAGTCCGTCTGTGCTAGTTTCTTCTTTTTAACAGAGGTTGTCAATGAAAGCTACTATTCAAACCCTTTTTAACCCAAATTCATAAAAATATTATAGTTATTTTCAATCATCAGCCAGATTCTTTGTGAGCCAATACTATTCTTAGTGCTTTAACTGATCCAGCATTTTGCTATTTTTGGTAGCTTGCTGAGAATCCTTTGGTAATTTTTTTGTGTGACTTATCTAATTTTTTTTCACACATTTAAATGTGTTTAAGAGTATCTACACTCTGTCCCTAGTCTCTTTACCTAATATCTTTCACTCTTCAATTATACCAGTGCTCAAAGCTTTCCTTTTTACATTCTTCAAGGAAACTAACGTCAAGGGAAATAATGATAGTTCTTTAGAGCAGTGTTTAACAGAATAGACCAAATTAGATTCTCATAAAAGGTCCCCGTGAGCTCATGGTGATTCTGGTACTCAAATGAAATCAGTGTCTGACACTAACCCATACTTTATTTTGCCCAAGCTACTTGTTATTCTGTTGGTATTGCTTAAAATTTCCCTTCATGTCATTGCTTACGCCATACTTGTGATGTGTTAAAATTGTATGTGGCTTTTAAGGCCTCCCTCACCATCTACTTCTCCATAAAGCAGTTCCCTGTCTCTTGCAGCAAGAAATGATTTTTTGTGGGAGCATTTGAGATCTTGTTTCCCTGAAATCATCGGTTTGGCTCAACTAAACTCTTATAAAAATTCCAAAAAAAATAATAATAATTTTTGCCTCCTCCAAATACCTCATATTAACTCCTATCATAGACTGCCCACAGCATAATTATTTGGGAACTTGACTTCTCTCTCTTACCAAACTGCAAGTTCCCCAAGGAAAAAGTCTGAAAATAACACTTACCTTTGCATGTCCTATGGCACATTACCTAATTTCTTATACATCTACGTGTTCAGTAAATGTCTGCTGAGTGAATTTTACTTATGCACAGATGCCTTTCAAATTCAGCTGAGCTGTTTATGAGCAAGTAAAGGTGAAAGTATCTAGTAGTCATAGTAGAGCACAAGTTAATTATATTGTTATGGAGAAAAAACCCTTCACATTGAGATAAATCAGAGAGAAATAAATACTAAGTGGGCCTATGAGTATCTTATTATTCTAACATTTTCACTAATTTACAGCTTTTGATTTAGAACTTTTTAAGTAATCTATAGAAGGACAAGATAGATAATGAAATAGATGGAAAGATTAAAGTAATGACCTGGAGATAATAATTTTGAAGAATAAGACTAATTGAGTAGATATGCACTAATAACTATAACTAGAGGAAATAATAACAGCTAACATTTAGAGCATGTATTATTATAGGCCATGGATTAGGCTAGCAGTTCCTTTGTATTTAACCTTTAAACCTCACAACAACTCTTGGAGATAGATTTGTTTAAGGTAGTACTATTATTTACCTCATTTACATGTGAGAAAATAGGCGAGGAAGGATAAGTGGCTTACTCTACTTACCTTAGTACTTGCCAATAAGTAGTAGAGCCTGGATACAAACCTAGTCTGACTCCTGACCATAATTTTGCATTGACAGTAAATTTGGGATGTTCATCCATCCATCCATCCATCCATCCATCCACCCATCCATCCATCCATCTATGCATCCATTTAATATACATTAAGGAGTATTATGTGATAGACACTTAATCTGAATACTAAGAATAAGGAATAAAACACACAGTCTTGCCCCTTAAGGAACTTACAGTCCATTAGAAAAACTAGACCAGGGTTTCCACTGAAACCTGTACTAAAGAATTAACTCTAGCCTGGCTGGTGTTGCTCAGTGGTTGAATGTAGACCTATGAACCAGGAGGTCACAGTTTGATTCCTGGTCAGGGCACATGCCTGGGTTGTGGGCTTGATCCCCAATGTGGAACATGCAGGAGGCAGCCAATCAATGATTCTCTCTCATCATTGATATTTCTATCTTTCTCTCCCTCTCTCTCTTTCTCTATGAAATAAAAAAAAAGAATTAACTCTTGAAGAGCTAGCAAAAAAAAAGAATGGAAGTATATTAAAGTCAGATGAAATCATATATACAGGTATCAGAGGGTAAACAGAGTATTGCAAATTTGGGAGCTGCTGTACTAAGGTGAAGGTTGATTGAAACTGGTAGACAGAGACTAAATTATGAGGGTCAGCTAATTTGCACTTATATTAATGGAACCACACTAGAAATATTTGCTTATATTAGTTAGTTGGATTTCATTGATCAAATCAATAGTATTTTATTCCTGCAGTAAGGGTAGGCTGTTGGATTTGGAAAGGGTTGAAAGAATGCTAAATGAAAATAGTTCTTAATTCTTATGGATTTAATTGTTCTAGCTCTTTTTCTAGAAAAAAAATGAGACAAAAGGGAGCTTTCAATAAAATCTGGTACAATTATTCTATTTTCAATAATTCATTAGATATCTAGGAATTTGCTAATACTATTGAACACTTTACATATGTCTGTTGTAACCACAACTTCATTTGTATACAAAGAAACATTTAGTTACTTGGACAAAACTAAATAGTTTTGTAATTTGCTTTTATATTTAGAAGACGGCCAAAAACAAGCTATGGTTAGTGAACGGACAGAAGCCTTTACCACTGCTCGAAATTTATTGGCCTCTGGAGCTGATGCCATTGAACGGATTATGTCTTCATATAAAGAGGTACTTGCATTTCTTGTCAATCTGCGAGATATGTGAAAATCAAGCAAAATGTAAATTAACAGATATACTTAGTATTTTGAAAACATATCCTTATCAAAAATTGCAAAGAGGCCCTGGACAGGTGGCTCAGTTGGTTGGAGCGTTGTCCTGTACATTAAAAGGTTGCAGGTGCGATTCTCAGCCAGGCACATAGCTAGGTTGTGAGTTCAATCCTCGGTCGGGGTGGGTACTGGAGGCAACAAATCAATGTTCCTCTCTCAAATCAATGTTTCCCTTTGTCTCTCTTCCTTCCTCTCTAAAAATCAATGAAAATATATCCTTGGATGAGGATTTAAAAAAATTGCGAAGTGTATAATAAAGTTAAGGGAGAACAATTCCCAAATGTATTGCTGCTAATACCCTTTAATTTTGACACTATCTATTGTAATTCCTCTTTTTTTCTGTCTATATATGACATATTTGTTTTTAAACTAAAAAGAAAAGTCCTTAGGTGTGGATTCTAGAGACAGAGTGCCTAAAGTTAAATTCTTGCTCCAGTATTTACTAATTATGTGAACTTGATCATGTTTCTTAACCTCTGTTTCCTCATCTGTTAAATGAAAATAGTGATAGCATTGACTTTGTCAGAAAACAATACATATTAAGTGCTGAATAAATGTTACTCAATAAAATTATTTATATACCTTGCAAACTTATACTCATTCTTCATGACAAGTTAAGCCTCACCAAACACAAATAAATGTGCTTGTGATTCCACCTTCTTCCTACTTTCCCTTTAAAGTCTGGGTCTTCCTAGTCTGTGTTCACAGTACATCTGGTCTTTTACCACTTTATAATTGTCTATCTTCTGCACCAGACCTTGAGTGGAAAGTAGGAACTATCTTACCCATCTTTACATTCTTAGTATTCATTTTAATAGTTGTATATTATATGTGGTCAATAAATATTTGTTGAAATAATGGTAATAAGACCTGCAGATATGACAGGGTTAAGATTAAAAACCACTTTATTCAATTGAGATATTACTGATAATATTCCCATGAAGAGTCAGCCTCACTATTAATTACTCATGTAACTTTCGTATTAATATAAATTGCCAGATCAGCATTATAAATTTAGGTGCCTATTAAATCAGCCTTGAATTAAATCAGCCTTGAATTAAATTAGCATTTAAAAGAGTTATAAATTTTGTGATTTGCTGACAAAATTTTTCAGTTTCATTAAACAATTAAATTGAGTTGGGGTTTTTTTTTAAAACCAACAAAGTAAAACAGTTATTTAGGGCCATATACCAAAAACAACTCAATTAAAACATTTTTTTCAAATAGTAATTTTGATAATCTGAGACAGTTTTAGGGATTTTTTTATGTAACATATTATGTATCATTAAAATTAAATGACAAATAAAATTTAATCTATCTCTCATTAGCACTTTGAAACCAACAAAGTAAAACAGTTATTTAGGGCCATATACCAAAACAACTCAATTAAAACATTTTTTCAAATGGTAATTTTTATTATCTGAGACAGTTTTAGGGATTTTTTTATATAACATATTATGTATCATTAAAATTAAATGACAAATAAAAATTTTATCTATCTCTCATTAACACTTTGCTATCTAAGTCACAGAAAGAATATCAATTGGTTTTTCTAGATCATCTCCAACACAATAAATAATTGCATTTTGCTTTATTCTGCCTGAATGTGCTTTGAGTCATAGAATGGTCACTGCCAAACAATCTTACTACTACTGTGACAGCATATGAAAGTACTATGCATTCTTTGCTAGCTCCAGAGGTAAAAAGGTTCCTTTTTAGAGTCCTTCTCTTGTATCCCAAAGTAATTAACCCACAGTCACATTTTCAGTTTTTTTCAGACACTCTTTGCCCACTCCACCTTGCAGCTTGGTCTACTAAGTCATTGCCTCCTGCCTTTCTTTAACTGACCTTTTCATTTGGTTCTGGATTTTTTTCTATGCAAATATATTTACCCAGATTTCCTTTGAATCTGTATTTTGTTAATCTTTAGCTCTGTTTTTCTCTACCTGGAAACTCAAGAAATTCTTCTAGATATCATTTTAGAAATTACCCTTTAAATGTTTATAACATTAACATATAGAAATGCAATACTAATCTAATTACAGACTCTCACACACAGTAGAGACATGTGGTAGAGGCTTTTAGCAATAGCACCTACTTATTTACTGCTTAATCTTTGCACACACAAAATTCTTACCTAAATGTCAGCATTGTTGAATTATTTCACAATTTATTGTTTAAGAAACATTCATTAGTGACATGCCTTGCTTATTAGTACCAATTTCCTTATAAACATTTCTGTAAGGAAATGGTTTTTGTGCTTTCCTTTTCACTGAGAAAGATGGTCTTGACAGAAGATGAGTCACATTTTACAGTACCTTGATAACAAGATGTTCTTTTAATAGAAAAACAGCTGGAGATTCCATCTAAATTGGACAACTGGCCGACTAAAAGCAAGACACCACTGGACTGAAGCAGAGATTTTATCTTCTGTTATTTTACATTCTCTCCTAGAAAAAAAGTCATATTTAATGTTTTTCTTTGGCCATATAAATCATGCTTTGCCTGAAAAGATCGTGAATTGTGGGATTTGGACTGAAAATGATTTAAAGTTTTCATTGAGCTCACTCCCAATATTAGTATCCTCTAGCAGGGGTATTTTCTCTGGCCAAGTAGGGAATTTTGATAATCAATTTAACTCAGAAACATTCATTTTATAATGAGAAAAAAATGTATTTTTCTTCTATTTAAAATCTTCCATTTTAAATTGAAGAAAAAAAATACCAAAATAAAGAATTTTTATTTCCTTGAATGAATTTAAGCTTTTCACAAAATTTCTAACTTTCTGTAAATGAAATTTGTCATGTAAATGAGCTAAATAAGAAATTTGACTGAAAGGTTTTTAAGTTTCACTAATATTCTGAAATCTCTTATTTTGAACCCTGACTTGAATGAATAAATTTTAATGTATTTTATAATTCCAATCAATCTTACATTGACACCTTGCTATGTTGCGCGCTCTCACTCTCTCTCTCTCTCTTTCTCTAAATTGATCTCAGAGAGGAAGGGAAAAGGAGAGAGAGATAGAAACATCAATGATGAGAGAAAATCATTGAATGGCTGCTGCCTGCAAGTCCCACATTAGGGATCAAGCCCACAACCCAGGCATGTGGCCTTCCCGGGAATTGAACCGTGATCTCCCTGTTCATAGGTCGACACTCAACCACTGAGCCATGCTGGCTGGGTAGCTATGTTGCTTTCTTGGTAACATTTTTACTGTTACTTGTTTTCATTATCAGATGTATTATCTATTTTTCATGAATAATAAAATAGGACCTTTGATGTTAAATCAAGAAGCTTATATGAAGGTACATTTATTTAAAAGTCTATCTTGGGTATATTAACTCTATATTATTTCTCTGCATTGGTTTTAGGTCACTGAATTAGCAGGCTATACTACTCGAGTGTACAATATGTTTTGGGTATTTGATGAAGTTAAAAGAGGCATTTATAAGAGAACTGCTGTCGTGCAAGAATCTGAAAACCATGACAAGAACGGAGCTAATATAGAATTACCTTTCAGTGACACACTGGAAATCAAAGGTTTTAAACTCAGTTTTTTAATTGTTGACAGTATTATAGATGTCCCCCATTTTTTCACTTTTTGCCCCCTTCCACCCAGCTTCCACCCCACCCTAGGCCTTCCCCAGACTACTGTTTGTGTCCATGGATTATGCATGTATGCATGTATGTTCTTTGGTTAATCTCTTCTCGTTCACCCCATCCCCCTATCCACTGAAATCTGTCTAAATGCTTTTAGTTTTTTTTATTTTTCTATATTTAAGTGTTTATCAATAGAACCAAAGTTTTTTAGATGATAGCCTTTAACTGTTACAAGGAACCAACATTTAATTATTTAAACAATTATTCCCAAAGTTAGTGTTGCAATTTGAGGAGTGGTGACTAACATTAGCATAAAAAAATATTATGCTACTTTTATTTAGGACAAAATTTCTAGAATTAACTTTGGAAACTGCACATATGGCAGAATGAATTGTTTGCTTTTAAGATTAACAGAACTAGAGCTAATATCACATTGTTCTTCATTCTGTGTTTTAAAACTTAAGTTTGGTTGTCCTACTTTTTAGAATTGTGTTATTCTGTGTCTTAATTCCTTGTTGCAGGACTGTGTTTATTCAGAAGAAAGGTTAATTTAGAGAAATAGTGGTTATAAAGACTATGGCTAGGTTACATCAGATAGAGTTCGCCTTTGCTCTCATGATTTTGACATCAGATTATTGCAAAATAAAATTTCTGATAGAAATTTTCTAAATAGATGTGTCAAAATATCCCAGTATGCATTAAACTTTGCTTTAAACATAACATATATATTTCCATTTATTTCTATGATTTATAACTGTGAAGTATCTTTTAAGATACTTAATTAGCAATAACATGCAATGACTTTTCTAACTTAAAATGTTCCTTAACTCACAGGAAAAGTTATTGATGTGGATCATGGAATTATTTGTGAAAATGTTCCCATAATTACACCAACGGGAGAAGTGGTGGCTTCCAGTCTAAACTTCAAAGTAAGATGATATTCAAGAATCTTCTGATTGTTGCCATCACACTAATACAAAACAACTCAGAATTCATATACCTTATGTTAAATACTTGGAGGAGCATATGGACAGGAGGGGAAATCAAGAAAGGTATGCACAGTGGCTCAATTACAGAAGCAGTTACTTCCTCAGAAAGCAGAGAAAAAGAGAAATTTGATTTCTACTGCTTTATTGTCAGGTTATATATCAAAATTGTAGTGCACTGAGAGCCTTTGCTAGGTAACTTTTGAGAGCAATAGGAAATTTCCTCAAAAATTATTATCTGGAAATAAATTTTAATTTTTTTTCTTGTAGGAATTACTCAAAAACTATAAGCCTGAATTATAATAAATTTACTAAAATATGAGGTTAAAGGTCATTAGCAGGTTTACTTCTGTTATTACAGATTCTCTAAATTTAATTGTGCTTTAAATAATCACATCTTCTGTTAGAAAAAAATCAGATTTGTGGATTGGAATTTAGTTTCTAATAACTCTGTTGAGAATAAGAGTTATTATTTAACATTTTACATCTTGATGATGTAAAAACAGTCAATAAACCTAAGGCCTTTATTTAAAGCACTGTAAAATTCAGATATTTTGGAATTTAAGTACAAAATAATTTGCTCATAAGCATTAATGACTGTAATGAAGGCGTAAGAGCTTTAGTTCAAACAAAGAGGCGATTGGACTTGAAAACAGAATTAAAAACATGACAATACATGTGCTAAATGCTTTTAGTATGGACTTTGTAGTCAAGTTTTAATTATTAAAGATGGTATTTACCAATGAATAAGGGAGCAGGAAAAGGATAAGTACTGAACAAGGAAAATTCTGTGTTAATAAATATAAGAGAAATTGTGTTTTAACTACAATTGATGAGGCTTTACTTTTCCATTTATAGACCTATAGAGTTCTTTAATTATTTGGATCTGAGCATGATACCAATTAGGTGCCAAAGGTGCACCATAATCTTAAATAAATTTGAAATAAAACATTTGACGAGGCATACATAGAATATTTAATTACTTATTAGTAGTTCAACAGTTTATAATTTATAACTTTTTGTATAGAGATTTTCTTTCTCTTTTTTTGGTCAGGTTCGGTTTATTTTTTTTCTTTATTATTATTATTTCTTATTAAATTGGGGTGACAATGGTCAACATGAACAGATAGGTTTCAGGTGTGGGTTTCTATGTTACAAGATCTGTATATTGCAGCGTGTGCCCACCACCCAAAGTCAGATCTTCTGCTGTCACCTTATATTAGGATCCCCTTCTCCCCTCACCCCCTTCCCTCTGACAACCACCACACTGCTGTCTGTGTTCACAAGTTTCAGTTTTATATCCCACATATGAGTGAAATCATATCGTTCTTAGCTTTTTCTGACTGACTTATTTTACTTAGCATAATATTCTCAAGGCTCATGCATGTTGTTGCAAATGGCGCTATTTCATCCTTTCTTATGTCTGAGTAGTATTCCATTGTGTATATGTACCACATCTTCTTTATCCAGTCCTCTATCATAGAACACTTTGGTTGTTTAAGTTCATAATATCAATTTTTATTGTTACACTTATTAAATAGAGTAAAAGTCTTAAATTCTGCCACCTACTAATTATATAATTGTGGACATCACCCTCTTTCTTTTCTTTAATATACTTTTATTGATTTCAGAGAGGAAGGGAGAGGGAGAGAGAGATAGAAATATCAATGATGAGAGAGTATCATTGATCAACTGCCTCCTGCACGCCCCCTACTGGGGATCGAGCCCACAATCCGGGCATGTGCCCTTGACAGGAATCGAACCTGGGACCCCTCAGTGTACAGGTTGATGCTCTATTCACTGAGCCAAACCAGCTAGGGCCATCACCCTCTTTCTGTAAAAACTTCAGAGCTCAGTTTATTTTTATATGAAATAAATTTTTAAATAATATAATAAAAGTGTTACATATTTTAAAGTGCTACAAAGATGTTATTATAGTACACTTTTATAATAATTGTTTATTTTTTACTCAGACAGGAAGTTTTATTTGAAGTCTCAGGTCCCTAAAATATAATAGAAAGTTGTTTCCTTTGCATGGATTGACAAACAGGTTTTTAAAGGAAAAGGTTCTCTTTTGTTGGCCTTTCAGAATTTAAAAAACAACAACAAACATTTGGAGAATAAAATTTAGTAAATGTGGGAATTCTTTTTTAATATAATTTTTATTGATTTCAAAGAGGAAGGGAGAGGGAGAGAGAGAAAGAAACAGCAATGGTGAGAGGGGATCATTGATTGGCTGCCTCCTACACACCCCATACTGGGGATTGAGCCCACAACCCATGACTTCCTCGTCTGTAGTTCAAAGCTCAACATGTAGTCAGCCAAGCAAGGAATTCTTTATACTTCGCAATCTCTGTGTGCTAAATATCAGAAAACATGCTAAAAATATAAATGTAGTAAAATCTCCTATTATGACTCAAAATGCGTTACATTTCTAAGAATTCCTAACAGAGAATGACCCTATTAAAATATTTTGTGAGCCCTAACTGGTTTGGCCCAGTGGATAGAGCGTCAGCCTGTGGACTCAAGGGTCCCAGGTTCGATTCTGGTCAAGGGCATATACCTTGGTTGCGGGCACATCCCCAGTAGCAGGTGTGCAGGAGGCAGCTGATCGATGTTTCTAACTCTCTATCCCTCTCCCTTCCTCTCTGTAAAAAGTCAATAAAATATATTTAAAAATATATATATTTTGTGAATGTGCCTTTTGCCATGACAGATACTTTTAAAAACATCATTTGTGAAGTATTTATGCTTCTACAACATTTAACTTCCTTAGTCCTCTTTCTAGTCAAAGAGCACAGCAAATCACAAATTAATTCTTTCTGGGTTTTCCCCAGGATTTTCCTTTGAACTTTATTGTATCAAATTTTAGTTTGGTTACAATTAAAGAGAAAAAAAAATCTATATTTTTTTAGATTTCCCCAGGATTTTCCTTTGAACTTTATTGTATCAAAATAGCATTTTAGTTTGGTTACAATTAAAGAGAAAAAAATATCTATATTTTTTTAGAAAAAAAATCTGTAGATTTTGTAGACTCAAGCTTGCTTCTATCTTATATCCTTGTGATGGTATCTTTGCTGCTTAGAATGCTCTTCCCCCAGATCTGACTAGTTGCTTCTCATCGCCCAGGCTCAGCCAAAATGTTACCTCCTCAAAGAGGACTTTTCTGACCACCTAGTCAAAAGAAGCCCCCACACCAGACTCACAACGCCACCATCTTTCCATAATAAACTTTCTTATTTTGCTCTCATCCTAGCATTTATCATTACTTAATTTTTGTTCATGTTCTTATTATTGTCTTTCCCATTGGAATGTAAGTTCTATGAGAACAAGGACTTTGTCTTGGCCAACACTGTAACCACTATGCCTAGAAGAATGTCAGGCACATGGTAGATATTCAAACAATGTTTGGCAAGGAAATGTCTAATTATTTAGACAGAATATGAATCTGAACCATTTTTGCTTTACATATACTTATTATATACATTCCTAGTTCCTTTATCTAACCTCCATCCCAACCCTTCTTTGTTCTTTCCCTTCCCCCCTTCCTTCCTCTCCCCACTACCTTCTTTCAACAAAAAGATTTCAGCTTATGGTATACACAGCAAATGAGTCAAGGATAGACATTGAACTGGTTGGTCCCTTATACTGACATAATGCAAATAATATGCTCTTTCATTTTTGAGTTTTCAATATGATGTATTCTACATCATTGATACTTAGATATTTGTATCCATACTATACAAAGATATAGCTACACATATATTGTACTTTCTTTCTCTCATACTTTCATACTATATTCATTTTTAAATCACTAATTAAAAATATAGTTGTTCTTAGAAGTAGATGACATTTTTAAATGGTGTTTCTTTTCCTTGTTCTTCACAATACCCTTTGAATACCACATTAAGATAACTTCCCAATCCTGAGTAGAAAAGTAACTCATGATATTTAAATGTTTACATTTAAATGGTAAATAAGATGAGAGATTCTAAAGAGAAATGTCCAATCAATAATGGATAAATAACTTTTGTTTTATTGTTATACCTATATAACTGTGTGTATATATATGTGTACATGCACACACATATGTAAAACATATATATATGTTTTAATGCATCCCTAGACATAAGACTAAATTACAACCCTCTTATTTTCTTCTGTCTTGGTTTAGTAAACATATTTTATTTATCTTTGAATAAAGCAGAACTGGAATAAATTTATCTCTCTGATTATGAGCTTTTGTGATTTCTGTAACATTTCAGACTGCTGAAGTACAAAATTAAACAACCCAGCTGGCTCTTAGAATGACTGTGTTTTATAGCTAATAACTCCAACTGACAAATACAATGAAGTTGTATTTTCATTCAATATATAGTTAAATAAATATTAATGTAAATAAAATGAAATTGAATATATTTTAATTTAAATTTTAGCAGTGTCCTATTTTCCATGTGATTATGTTTCTACATATGTGTATAGTATCTGATTACAAGGTCCCAATTAAAATTTTGGAAAGCCAAATGCTCATTTCAAGAAGATTCATTGTCTTTGAGATTGGATTAATTTATAATACTTTTAGCTTCAGAGCATAGTCAAAGCCAACTTTGAGGCTGTTGATTCTGATTTATTTTCCTTTGATTCCTTGCCCATCCTAGGTTATCATGTGTTTGAAAGGTTTTTTTTTAATAAATCACTTTTAAATGCTGCCAAAGAATTATTTTGCAGTTTGTAATTTTATTTCTTACTTTAGGTACAAGAAGGAATGCATCTTTTGATTACTGGTCCCAATGGTTGTGGGAAGAGTTCTCTCTTCAGAATTTTAAGTGGGCTCTGGCCTGTGTATAAGGGAGTCCTCTATAAACCACCTCCCCAGCATATGTTCTATATTCCACAAAGGTAGGTAACATTTTTTATATTACAAGAATCAATTTTCTTTACTTTTTAATTCTCTTGATTCCTTAGGCTCTTCAGTTTGTAATCTTTAAGCCTGTTTCACTAGAGAAGCTATTAAGGAAATAAAAATTCAGTTCTAAAAGGAACAATGCCACTTTCAGGACAATATCACTTCGGTTCACTTTAACATTTGACTGGATATAATGAACATTCAAAAGCTATAGATGTTAATGTCAAGGAATAACAGGCTAGTCCAAAGAATAATTAGATCATCTTAAATGTCAGATTATCTCTTCTCACAGAAAAAATTGCACTTGGATAGTATACTAATCCTTTCATCAAGCTGCTTACATTCCTATGTTCTAAAATTGTTCAGTTATGTTTAAAGAGCCTCTATAAAATAGTTTTTGTTATATTTATGCTATATGATTAATTAATGATTTGAAAATATGCAAAGTAAGCATAGAAATATTAAAAAGGAACATTATTCTGAAGTTTTTAGTCATCTTCATAAAAAAATTTAAAAATATCTAAACACAAAGTTATACTTGCAAATTTGCATCATTCATTGGGAATAAGAGCAAATGAAATCTGAAGAAGAGATATACCTTATACTCATCTGACCCAGTAATTTTTCCATCTATCCTCACCCTGGGTTAGGTAGATAACACAGAGTACTCTTATTATATTAAGAGGACTATTTTGTGGAAGCCAATAGAGCACCTAGGGTATAGTACCAGAGAAAATATAAATGTTACATGATGTATGGTGCTATCACATGTCTCCTTTGCCCCTTTTTCTTTGTCAGAAAGTGTTTGTACCATCCTGCCCACGGGTCTAAATTTTAGACCATATGTTATAGTTAGGCAGATGAGGTTTTGTGGAACTTTTCTTTAAAGTAAGATCTATGGTAGTAGCAGGAAGCTACCTGACATGTAAGAGGATGAAGAAATGCATTGGCAGTAAGAAAATATTGGGTACAAGCAATATCATGGATGCGCATGTTTAACAGAAAATAGATGACCATCTTGTGACACCAGAATCATTTTCTCTTTTTGTCTGGGAAACCTTCTGAAGCAGAAAGCTAAATTATACCCCCAAAGTTTAAGTTTCAGACATTATTGTGTTAAGTAGACTGATTCTAATTTTTGAGGAAAATATTGTTATACCATAGAATTCTACTTTCTTAATAAAATTATGTACATAAATCTTATGTTTTTAGCTATTTTAAATTTCATATGTAAATTGAAGGATACAGTTCTCAAATATAGCTGTGACCTAAGCAATATAAGACAGTCCAAAGACATAGGAAAGTACATAATCCACAGAATCATCCTTCAGAACTGAAGGAGAAATAAGGACTTTCCCAGACAAAAGCTGAGGGAATTTGTTCACTAGACCTGCCTTACAAGAAACGCTACGGCCGAAACCGGTTCGGCTCAGTGGATAGAGCGTCGGCCTGCGGACTGAAAGGTCCTGGGTTCGATTCCGGTCAAGGGCATGTGCCTGGGTTGCGGGCACATCCCCAGTAGGAGATGTGCAGGAGGCAGCTAATCGATGTTTCTCTCTCATCGATGTTTCTAACTCTCTGTCTCTCTCCCTTCCTCTCTGTAAAAAATCAATAAAATATATTTAAAAAAAAAAAAAAGAAACGCTACAAGTTCTTCAAACTGAAATGAAAGGATGCCAATCAGTAACATGAAAATATACAACATACTGATAAAGGTAAACATATAGTCAAATTCAGAATACTGTAATATGGTGGTGTGTTACTCACTTAACTATTAGTATAAAGGTTAAAGAACAAAAGTATTAACAATAACTATAACTAGTATAATTTGTTAATGAATACTTTATATAAAAAGAAGTAATTGCCACTTTAAAAACATAAAAGGGGGAGAGTAAAATGGTAGAGGTGTTTGTATGCAATAACAATTAAGTTATTATTGTAAAACAGACTGTTATAAGATGTTTTATATAAGCCTCATGGGAATCATAAATCAAAAGCATGTAGTAGATTCACAATAGATCAAGAGAAGGGAATCAGCACATACCACTACAGAAAATCACCAATTCACAAAACAAGACTGTGAAGAGGAAGAAAGGAACAAGAGAAGTACAAAATAGCCAGAAAACAATAAATGGGATTAATAATTCCTTAACTCTAATAATTACTCTAAATGTAAATAGACTGAATTCTCTAACAAAATCCAACTATATACTACCTACAAGAGGTTCACTTCAGCCTAAAGGACAAACATAGACTGAAAGTGAAGGGATCCAAAGATATTCTATGCAAATAGAAACCAAAGGAGAGCAAGGAGAGCTATTCTTAGACAAAATAGACTTTAAGCCAAAAATGGTAACAAGAGACAAAGAAAGTCATTATATAATGATAATGCGATCAATTCATCCAGAATATATAATAATTGTAATATGTACGGACCCAATATCAAAACACCTTAATATATTAAGCAAATACTAACAGATCTGAAGAAAGATCATTGGGGACTTCAGTACCCCACTTTCAACATTGGATACATCATCCCAACAGAAAATTAACAAGGAAACATTGGACTTGAACCACACTTTAAACAGAATAGACCTAACAGACATATACAGACGTTTCATCCAACAGCAGCACAATACACATTCTTCACAAGAAAAAGCATTTGACAAAATAAAACATGCTTTCATGATAATAGAACAACTCTTAACAAGTAGGATATAGAAGGGATTTACCTCAACATAATGAAGACTGTATATGAGAAACCCGTAGCTAACATCATACTCAACAGTGAAAGTTTGAAAGCTTTTCCTCTAAGGTCAGGAAAAGACAAGGGTGCCCACCCAATCTCACCCCTACTTTTCAATGTGGAAGTCCCAGCCAGAGTGATCAGGCAAGATAAAGAAATAAAAGGCAGTCATATTTGAAAGGAAGAAGTAAAGCTGTCTTAGTTTGCAAATAGTATGATCAAATATTTAGAAATCCTAAAGACTCCACCAAAAAACTGTTAGAATTAATCAACAAATTAAATAAAGTTTCAGGATACAAACTCAACATGCAGAATCAGTTGCATTTCTATATGCTAACAACAAAATTTCTGAAAAATAAATTAAAAACCCAACCCCATTCAACAACTATAAAATACTTAGGGATAACTTCAACAAAGGAGGTGAAAAGATCTGTGAGCTGAAAATTTTAAGACTTTGATGAAAAAAATTGAAGAAGACACAAAGAAATGGAAGATATCCTATGTCATGGATAGGGATAATTAATATTATTAAAATGCTCATACTGCCCTAACAGGGTTGCTCAGTTAGTTGGAGCGTCATCCAGCATACCAAAAGGTTGCAAATTAAATTCCCAGTCAGGGCACATACCTAGGTTGCAGGTTCAATCCCTGGCCAGGGTGTGTATCGATTCATAACAGTAGCAACATTACAGTTAGGAAGTAGCAATGAAAATAATTTTATGGTTGGGTCACAACATGAGGAACTGTATTTAAAGGGCCAGAAGGTTGAGAACTACTGACTTAGACTAATGGAACAGAATTGAGGGCTCAGAAATAAACATCTGTCAGTTAATATTTGACAAGGGAGCCAAGTCTACTTAATTAAGAAAAGATAGTCTCTTCAATAAATGATGCTGGGAAAACGGACAACCACATACAGAAAAATGAAATTGTTCCCCTATTTATACCACTATCAAGAATGAACTCAAATTGATTAAAGACTTGGATGTGAGACCTGAAACCATAAAACTCTTAGAAGAAAACATAGGAAATAAACTCCTTGGCATTGGTCTGGGCAATTAAATTTTTGCATGTGAAACCAAAAGCAAAGCAACACAAGCAAAAATCAGTAAGTGGGACAACATCAAACTGAAAAGCTTCTGCACAGCTAAAGAGGCAATAAAAATAAAACAGCAACCCACAGAATGGGAGAAAATATTTGCAAATCTTATGTCTGATAGTGGTTTAATATCCAAAAAAATAAAGAAGTCATATAACTCACATTTATATATATAATGGAATATTATTCAGCCATGAGAAAGAAGGAAATCCTGCCATTTGTGAAAACATGATTGAAATTTGAGGACATTGTACTAGGCAGAATAAGTCAGACAAAGACAAATACTGTGTGATAGCACTTATATGTGTAATCTAAAAACATCAAACTTGTAGAAACAGAGAAATGAAACGTTAATACTAGGGTCTGGAGAGTGGGGGTAGAGGGAGATGTTGATCAAGAGTTAGAAGATATATTAAGTTCTAGAAATATAGTGCACAGCATTATGATTATAGTTAACAATGACATATTATATATGTGGAAGTTATTAAGAAAGTATATCCTCAGTGTTCTTACCACAAAAAAAGAAATGGTGAGGTGACAGAGGTGTCAGGTAACACTAGGTGGTAACCATTTTGCTATATATGTGTATCCAATCAACATGTTGTACGTCTTAAACTTATATAATGTTATATGTCAATTTAATCTTAGTAAAATTGGAAAAATAAAGAAAAAATACCACTGAACTATACACTTAAAATGGTTATGATGCAAATTTTATGTTATATTGTTTAAATGGGGGGGGGGGGTCGTAAGAAAGTGCATAAATCCAGTCTTTGCCCTCAGAGAAACCTGTTATTTTGCAACAGACATAAATCACTGGGAAATTTTTTCTTAGTTATGAAATTTACTCTTGCCTAAGCAAAAGGTCAACTACAACTTAGTTAAGGAGAAAAATGAAAAGTATTTTTGAAGACTAACAATTTTTCTTAAAAAGTACTGTTAAAGGTCATTTTATCTTGATTACATAGCTTTGGAAACATGACAATGTGTGTTTATGTTTAGAATCTTATATCTTGCAGAAAAGCATAGAATTTATTTAAATGTACATGTAAGCTAAGTGTCTAAATGTAGCATTTATTTTTATATTCCAAAAGCCACTGAGTTTTTTAAGTAAATTTGAAAATAATCTTATAAGTTTTTATTATTTA